AAAATACTTGAAAGAAGCCATGTCTAATATATTCGAAAATAGCCCATTCAACCGGAGCACCGTTACACATCGTAGTCCGCCCAGCACGCCTCAACCACCGTGATACTGCAGACTATTGAACTTTTAGCCACCACTGAAATTAAAAAATGGATGATCTCAATCGAACAGTGCCTTAATGAAGTTTGCCTTATTGCCCAGGAGGGAAAACTAAACTCTGAACACAAGCTGAGAGTCAATTCCCTACGTAATGCAGCCTCTCAGATGACAGTACACTTACACGTACACCCGATTTGATAATGTAGGGCAGTTCCCGTCTACGAGGGAGGTAGGTCGTGGTATGAATTGCAATAATAAAACAAGTGTATATTGTTTAAAATGTAATACTCGGATATGTTTCGTGACGGAAAAAGCTCCATGCAACTGTTTTTTGAATTTTCACGTAAAAGGTTAATATTAGATTTCAAATAAACATAATTTTCTTTCTTTTCCTCTCGTTTCATTTTCGTCGTTTTATTTGCCTTCTTAAGTGGTAAACTCCACCAGGATGGACAATTTATTTTGCCCGTAAATCTCCAAGTGTTCAATGGACTCCGCCGTGACGGACCCTCTTTTTCTCAAAAATGGTATAAATGGTACCTAAATTTTTTATATCTTTTTTACGAGACTAATATAGAAACCTAGCTTTTGAAATAAATTTGTAAAATAACCCTGTAAATGGCCACCAGGCCCTCTCCTCCGGTCGCCAACCAGCATGGTGGAGCCATCCCAGGATTTTTCGTAAGGTGGCGGGGCAGCCTGTCATGAGTGGCTGGTTCATTAATTAGGCCTCTAATTATCTACGGTCGGCCAGCGGTACAACCGTGCTTCGGATCCTTCCGTGCTTCTAATATTGAGAACTCCGTCGAAATATCGGTTACTAAAGTACCGACCACTCATCGACATCAATGAGTGGTCTGTACTTCCACAGCTAAGAAATTATCAAAAAAAAAAACGGTCTGGTATCTCCAAACAGATCGTACAGATGGCCATTAAAAATACGGAGGGCAAGTTTAAACGTTTACACGAACTTAAAATGGTAATAGATCAGGATTACCATCAGTATTACAATGTATTAAAATTTAATCCGGGTTCTTAATGCATAATTATATAGGGATCTCAGAAAATAATGGTACTTTGTAACATTTATTTTATTCTATCCTGTGGTTCAACCGTTACCATATCTTAATTAGTGTTTTCTGAGAAATATATTATTTTCAATAAAATTAATAGCTTAAATTTTTATAGGCCTTCTACACGGTCGGGACCAACCACCAACCGTCGTGATCTTGGTCGAGTTGATGTAAAAATGGATAGCGTGGACATCGGTTGTCTGACCAATATTTTGGTTGAGTCCGACGGCCTTGGTCGCGAGAGCATCCCTCACGACACGTTGGGTCCGTGGTTGACGCCGACCACAGATTACCTCCTCTGTGACGCCGACCGTGTGGAACGCTGTCTGCCGATGAGAGCGCCTCAGTGCGCGCTTAGCAGTCGTCGCAGGCGGATGTTTAACGGCACTATGGATACGAACGGAAGCAAAGAACGTGAGGTCCTGACCGAATTCTTGGCACTGTACTGTGATTACCATTCAAAACCATGTCTAATCAGCTTAAAGTACCATATCTTAAAGTACCATGTCTTAAAGTACATGTCTTAAAGTACCATGTCTTAACGTACCATGTCTTAAAGTACCATGTCTTAAAGTACCATGTCTTAAAGTACCATGTCTTAAAGTACCATGTCTCAAAGTACCATGTCTTAAAGTACCATGTCATGTTTGTTTAAAGTAATGCGCTCTTTCAGCCACAATTTTATTCATTTTTTTTCTTTATTTTTTTCATCCACATTCAAGCATAGAAACGTTAAAGCTAAACCGATTTTTTGTTGTATAGAAAAGCAAGGAGCCATTTTTAAAAGTAACTACAGTACGTCTTTACTCTTCAAATACCAGAGACCACTGACAAGTTGAGTCAACCACCCGACCGTATAGAACGAATACAAAAATCGGTTGACCCGACCAAGGTCACGACGGTTGGTGGTGGGTTCCGACCGTGCAGAAGCCTTATTAGTTTAAACAATGTGATACATAAAGCGCAACCAAAATTCCTTATGTGTTAACTAAAATTGTTAAAACGTTGTAAAAAGCAGAAAATCATGTGAATCTTATCTATATTTTTTGTTTTAGTTGGTTTTTGATATTTCTTTGTAAAGACAATATTATGGTCCTGACCTGGTATCCTAAAATTTTCAACTGTTTCGGTCTCTTCAGAATTCTTTAGGTAGTGTTAGGTTAACACTAAAAGAGGGCTGAGAAAACTACTTGTCGCTTTTTTTAACAAAATCCCAAGATTTCGACAGCAACGGAATTATGTCACTCCCTACAAGATGGCAATAAGTTATCGAACAAAAGGGCGTATATATATTAAAATTAAATGTAATTGAACTTTGAAAGAAAATGTCTTGAATTTGTACATAACATACGAAGAAACTTTTCCCCGACCTTATATATTTGTCGAACATGAGTTTTTTGCTCTTCCCAATTATAGCGTTGAATTGATGTTCCTTTTTATATTAGTATAGTATAGTTCCTTTTATAGTATAGTAATTTTTTTGGTCTTAGTCACCCTAAACTTTTTATAACACCTGTATCTAACGTATGCGTACTCTACAGTTGTTAGAAATTACGCACCGTATTACAAACAGCTACAGCAACGTGTAGTTATATTTATAGTTACATCTTGGTAATAAATAACAACTATAATTTTGCCTAGTTACGTTCGAGAATAAATTAACATTAAATATTTTGAAGGAAAAAAAATTAAATACATTACAGCACTTCACACTGCTTATCATAGGCTTCTTCCAAGGAACGCTACATTCCACGGACCTGAGCCAAATATATTACACCTCAATATTTAATTTACAAAAAACAATTCCACGGAAATATCTTATATCTTAAGAAATATCTTAATATACCTATATATTATACCGAAAATACAGAATGTGTTACAAAGATAATTCTTAAGAATACTACAGAAGATACATCGGGCTTTTGGTCTCCAGATGGAGGAGTAAGTAGAGTCGCCAATAAATATTTTGAGGAAATATTATGAGTACCAATTACACTCATTTGGAATGATAAAATTACCGTGTCCAAGTTTTTTTTTTAATTTAGGCTATATTTGTGAACGTCAAAAACCACACTCGTTCGGTTCGGGTCGGTTTTTTAAATGCCAAATTACAATCTCATTTGCGTATAACCCCACAGATAGTTTTGCGAAATTTGAAAAAAAAAAAAGTGCTATGGTTAGTTGTAATCAAATGTATACAATACACGCATGTCACACACTACAAACTGTTTTCAAAAAACGTTCCACCAGCAGCAAAGTTTCGTACGTATGAACCAATTTACGAAACATTTTACCTGTCCGTGTCAGACACCTCTCTACGACCAGCTCGAATGCTGCTAGTGCATTTTCAGCCGTTGAAAACGGTATAACCTGCAGCAGATTTTTTTAATTTAGGGGATAAAAAGTCACCGGTACCAAATCAAGGCTGTAAGGAGGAGTTTACTCAAAAGCTTAACTGGTGTGCTGTTCAGGAATTTTCTAGTTTTGAGCTAGTGCGCAAGCCCAATGTCACGCGAAGTCTCACGTTCAGTGTCTTGTTGTTCACAGCACCAGCAGTGAATACTTCTAGCAAACATTTGGAAGTATTCCATTCGCACAGAAGCTACTTCTATTTCCTAAAGTAATTGACACCATATACCCTGTCAATGTCAACAAACCTAGCGATCAAAATCTACCCTGCGCTTCTCGATCACTTTAATTTAGTAGGCATTGGTTCATTTTGAAAGAGCTAAACCGTCGACTGGCGCTTCGTATCTATATCTAGATCGTATTGATTGAGCCATATACAAGCGCAAGCTACGATCCAAGAGCAAGTCTCTTATGACACCATTCCGATGATATCACAGACGTAGAACAGAATTAGCAGTGTTTTAAAAATGGCAACGCTATGGTTGTGAATGGAACTACAGCTGAGTTTCTAAAATCGGGTGGAAAACTGTTACATGAAATTCTTCAGAACCTGTTCAATTCCCTCCTCCACTCCGTTACTTTGCAAGCGTGAAATACAAGTGGTCATGTTCTTCAAGAATAGACGAAGAGCCGGCGTCTAAAAAACTGTTTTGAGTTCACTAAGGCTACTTTTTATTGTTCATTACAATGATTGTGTACACAAACATACCGCAGTCAGTCAAGTGAAACCTTTTTTTTGTTATAGGATAGAGCGACAAACGAGCACACGGTCCACCTGATGGTAAGTGGTTGCTGTGGCCCATAGACATCTACATTTATTCTCAATTACGAATCAAAATGCATATGCGTGGTCGCCCGTGAGGACAAGAGGAATCCTGTAAAAGGTCCGTTACCGCTACTATTTTACCTTATTCTGTGAGAGGTGGTCCTTCCCCAGTCGAGCCGACTCATTCGCGCTACAACTATACTACTAATATAACTACAACTTTGCTCTACGTATAAACAAGAAAAAGTGACTCAGGTGCGCTATCTAAGGTGTACCTGCCGAGGTAATAAAATGAATTTACTAAGTCTGAAATTGTTATACAGCTTGTATATTGAATATAAATGAAAGTTGTGATGGTCAGTCAGCTGAATATGGGGACGGAGCTGGTCAGTCAGCCGCCATGTACTCGTAGTCGTATGTGCCCAAAGAGATTTAAACTACTTAAATGTCTATGTATGTGCCAAAGGTAAATAATGTACAATTCATTTATCACACTTCAAATTTATTATTATTATTATTATTTTAAACATTGAAAAAAAAGTCAATCATCGATTTATTATTGATTATTTTGAAAATTATTCTGAATATAAACCAACTCAGGTCTCCATAAGTTTTTGCCTGAACATGCTGTTGGTTTATCCTCTTTCCTGAATTTGTTACATCAGGTCCTGAAATGAAAATAGTATTTCAATTAAAATTGTTTTTAATGTGAAGAGGAAATATGGGCTAGACATTTAAAAATATTGTTCTTGAGATATACTATTTTTTTAACTTTTGTATTATGCCTGAACGCTCAAAGTGAGACATTCGAGCGAGACAACTGCGGAAGAAGATTTTGGCTATGTCTGTATGTTTTACATGTTCCTTTTTTGTTTGCTCAATATATGATCACGGCGGTAAAACTGGGCAATTTTAGTGATGTTAGCAGGTTTCTAGTTTTTATAATAATTATAGCAAAACTCTTCGATCAACAATACCAATAACTTAGTGAACACCCCGAAGTGGCAATGTGCCGGCCATATATCTAGAAGAACCAACCACCGATGGGGGAAAACTAAAGACTATAATAATTTAGTGAACTTCATTTAATAATTTAGTGAAGTGTATAAATCATTATTATTATTGCGGTATCTATATAGTTTTCTCATCTGGTTGGGTTCCATAAATATATAACTGTGAAAGAAAATGATAAATATACATAAATATCAATAAAATAAAATAAATACATAAATAAATAAAAGGCCATCTAGCAACAAGCTCGACAGTTGTCGACGGTGCCATGTTTTAGGATATATCTCCGATAGTTGTTGGTCTTAATAATCTGATCCTGTATTGCACAGATAAAACCCTCGGTTTCCCTGAAGAGGTCACCAAAGCGTAGCCAGTGGAGGGAGGCTACAGTGTCTAAGAAAGGCTCATGCTCATGAAGAGCTTTGTAGAACCTTCCGTGGAGCTCCTTCTCCTTGCATACGATCTCTTTGGTCAGCAATCCTATTTACTGCCGGGTTCTGTCATGCTCGTTAGCTAAGGATAGGGGGGTAAGTTCTTTATCACAAAAAAATGACGTTCCTATATAATGGATCATCCGATCTCGCCAGGAAGTAATTTACGGTGGCTGCACACTTCGCGATTCTGCATGCTGAGCGCGCTTAAAAAGCCACGCGAACCATGATTACGCGGCAAGTACAGCCTCATTACCGACGATCTCGGATGATGCACTCTATGGGACGTCATGGTAGTGCGGACTTTTCTATCCAGGGAGTTAAGTTCAGTCTGAGACCACCTGAGTATGCCAAGGTTATACATAAGGACAGGCATGACCCAACCGTTATATGCATGTGTCTTATTCACACCGGGCAAAAGGCTGTTAAGCACTTTGGTCAAGCGTGTATAAAACACATCGCTAACTGACTGTTTCATACCAGCCTCTTTGATACCGATGTTCTGTGACATACCCAGCTATCGGTATGTTTCAGCCTCGGAAATGGTCTTTAAGTTGACGGGCATAGATAAATATATGCATTTAGAGTTAGCAACCCTTTCTCCTTCGACATGGAGGACCGCCCTCTTATCCATTCCCAGCTCCATTCTAATAAAATTGCCAAAATCACAAGTGATGTGTAGCAATTCCACAAGATGAGAGTGATTGGAGGCCAATAATTTGAGGTCATCCATATAAAAAAGGTGAGTCACTTTTGTACCTCCTTCAGCTGAAATCACCTCCCGGAGCCCTCCAGTAAAGTACTGCGAGGATTTAAAAAGAGGCAGAACCGGAAAGACTCAGACAGTCGCCCTGGAAGATACCCCTTCTTATCATTATGCGGCTTTCCGCGGCCGTCATCCGCTCACCCAGATGACAAAGGATCGCACTCCTTTACCCTATACACTGCTCGAGGAAGTCCCTAACTATACAGTCAATCTTGTACAGCTCCAGGACCTTTCTGTAGTCTATCCAGGCGGCGGAGAGGTTCCGACGGTTGCGTTTCACCACTTTGCCAATGACCGCGTCAATGAGGAGTGGTTCCTTGGTTCCACGACCACCGCCCCGACATCCATTCGGAGCGCGCGACATCACCTGATTTGAGTCGGGGTAAAGTGATTCTCGCGCTCAAAATGGATGTTAGTGATTATATTCTCTTTAAAACAAAACCAACGACCACGAAATTCGACGGAATGACAGTGCAGAGAAGGGTGTTACGTCCTGGGCTTAAATGTTCAGCTGCATAACGTGAGACACGTCTCTTGTGGTCGAGCTGTAATATGCTTTTTAACTTTTTACAGCAAACTCCGAAGAACCTTTCATTTCCTGAGTTTAAATGTTCAGCTGCTTAACGTGAGGCACGTCTCTTGTGGTCGAACTGTAATATGCTTTTTAACTTTTTACAGCAAACTCCGAAGAACCTTTCAGTTTCATTGCTGCAAATCAAAAATCCAGCACAGCATAGACCTCACAAAAAGACAGCCTTATATGGGAGATATTGCCATAGTTGCCACGCTTATCTGGCGGGTTGGCAGCTGTTGTTGAAACACATTATTAATATTAGTAAATTTAACATAGAACATACAATATTTTACCTTTGCTTCTAATATTGCGATTATAATAATCAAGACTTTTGCGATCTTTTCGTCCACTTCAAGAATCTTTTTAGAAAGTTCAAAATTCGAATATTTGATATAGTCAAGTCTTTCCAGATTATATTTCAATCTGAAAACAATACAATGAAGCATGTACATAAAGTAGTCAGGCCTGTAACCTATGTTAAATAACCACAACAAAAGAAATGTGGGAAATGTAATAAAAATTCTTCTTAAAATCGATGTTTCATAATATAAGAATTGCTGCAGTTAATTATATTAGATAGAGTTGTCAATAATTATTAAAGGTATACAATGTGTAGTTTGTAATTTCAACTGTAAGCAAATTCAACCCTGACAACACTTCAAAATTAAGAATTATATATATTACTAAATAGCAGCTTAATGGAATTGGAATCGAGGCATTCCACCTTAGTCCTCAGGGGTGACAATGCATCTGCATTTTGATACCCAATCGAAGATTGATGTAGATATCTATGGGTCACAGCATCCACTTACCATCAGATGAACTGTATGCTCGTTTGTCACCACAAGAATGGGTTGCCCCGACCAGAGTAGAACCATGATTGCATAAAAAGTACTAGCGTGAAATTACAGCATAATGTTGCTGTATTTCGTATGGTGAATGACGAGGACCGTAAACCGTATATCTGGTAATAATAAATTCCATTTTAGTCCCCAGGAGTGACAACTCATCCGCATTTTAATTCATAATTAAGGATGTTGTCTATGGCCACAGCATCCACTTACAATCAGGTGGACGGTGTACTAGCTTGTTAACCTTACTGCACAACAATAAATTGAACATTACGAGAATCATAGTTGTTGTTTAAATTAAACATGGTAACGGTGAAGTAAAATTATTCAAAATGCTTCTTGGCACAAGTTAAATATCCATAGTAAAAATGGAAACAGAAATGCCCTTATTCACTGAAGACAGCCGCAACGGCTTTCAGTGAACTTAAAATTTTAAATGATTAAAACTACATCTTATTTTAATTTCGCCAAATTTAAATGCGCTTGCTAAGTTTTCGCGTGTGAGACTTTGGACAAGATGAAAACGCATAAAGCAAAAGTTGTGCGCACACAGACGAATGTCACTTGTCCCGATTTTGTGGAAGTCGTATTATTCTAATGTTGATTATTTTTAAATTTATATAAAAACGTTTTACCTATACCTAATGTCTATGTTGTATCGTGGAGGTGTTTTATTAATAGATTCGATAAGTAGCCAGAACCGAAGTAATTATATTTGTAGGCTACGTAAACACTTGTTCAGTGGGGGAATTCAGGATCTGCAGCGCCACAACCAAACGTTCAGCCAATGCTCTATTCAGCACTGCAGATATTGTATTTTGTCAGGAGATTTAGTACCGTGTTCAGTGGCATTCCATAAGGGCCTGTGTTCAACAGTTGACGGCTCCATGGCGCAGTGGCTTAGCAATGAGTGGCTGCGCTGGGAGCCACGGGTTCGATTCCCGCGCGGAATAAGTATTTGTATGGCCTACAAATAATTGTTCCGGGTCTGGATGTTTGTCCTTGTGCAATTTATGTTTGTAATCTGCCTCTACGATACAGGAGAAAATCCTAGTGTTATTGGGCTCTTAGCTATTAGCCTAGGGATATTGAGCTATTATGTGCTGTTCCATTCAATTACGGTGTTAGCACCGCACTTTCCTCAGTCACTCACTAAGCGCTAGTGAGTTGACACGTGTTGTTTAATTATATTTAAAAAAAAATCTCGATAAAATATGCCTTGGTATGTTTCTAGATATTGCACAAATATTTCAAGTAATATTAGCAAATACCAAGGAACTTTTTATTTGTTAATAAGATACTTAAGTATTATAGATTCATAACATTGAAGTAATATGTACTTACGTACTAGAACAGCTATCACAAACAAAAAATGTGCGCTACTCTGTGTTCGCGCGGTTGGTTTTTTTATCATATAATAAACATAGGTAGAATGACCCGTAGGTAATAGTAGATTACATTGTTAAATAGGTAAATTATATCAAGAACAATATATAAATTTTGTCATTTATTTTGTATATTATATTTGCTTATTTAATATAATAAAATATATCACAATTACATTTTAATGATTTTATCTATAAGATCTATAAAGGTTTAAAAAAAATACTAAATGTGTATTTATCAAAACTTATTAACATAACATTTAAATTACAAATATATTTATTTAAATTAGAGTAAGAGTCGTTCATAAATGCTGGGACACGCGAAAGTTAAAAATGGACGAATTTATTCCACTTTGACTTTGATATGGAAACCTAAAAATAAAATAAAAGAATAATAAGCAGATTTAAACATGAAAAATTTAGCCTAATTATTATAACTTATATATGTTTCTACAAAAAAAAAATGTGTATAATAATATATTCGTCCTATACTTAAGTACCCACAGAAATGTCGCATCTGAACATATTAATTTCATAATATATATTTCATGACACGAGATGGCGTCTTAGCAATAATTTGTTTTATTATTATTCTATAATACTTTGTTATTGATTAAGTATCTTATTAACCGATGAAAAGCAATTCCTTGGTTTTTACTGACATTTCTTGAATTATTTGTGCAATATCTAAGTACACACGATGGCATATTTTTATCAAGAGATTTTTTTAAATTACCACAACACGTGTCAACTCTACAAGCGCCTAGCGAGTGAATGATCAAAGTGCGGTGTATGCACCGCAGTTGAGTGGAATATAGTAGCTGAAAGCAGTGTCGCCTCTAGTACGTAGTACGTAATAGCTCAATGATTCATAATAAAACAAATTGTTCCAATGACGCCATCTCGTGTCATGTAATATAATATTATGAAATTAATTTGTTCAGACATTTCCGTGGTTGGTACTTAAGTATAGGACGAATATATTATTATGCACATTTTTTTTGTAAATACATACATAAGTTATCATAATTAGGCTAATTTTTTATATTTAAATCTGCTTATCATTGTTTTATTTTATTTTTAGGTTTCCATATCAAAGTCAAAGTGGAATAAATTCGTCCATTTTTAACTCTCGCCCTGCCCAGCATTTATAAACGACTCTTATTCTAACTTAAATAAATATATTTGCAATTTAAATGTTAAATTAATAAGTTTTGTTAAACATACATTTAGTATGTTTCTTATGTTTGACATAGTTACCTTTTAAAATATTCAGATAAAAATATCGTTAAAATGTAATTGTGATATAATATTATGTAATATTATATTAAATAAGCAAATATAATATCCAAAATAAATGACAAATATTTAAAAATTGTACTCGATATAATTTACCTATTTAACAATACAACCTTTATTACCTACTGATCATTCTACCTATGTTTATTCTATGATAAAAAACAACCTCGCGAACACAGAGTACCGCACATTTTTTGTTTGAAATAGCTGTTCTAGTACGTACTTGAATGTGTGCGGGTAAAGTTTTTGGAAAAAATAAAAAAGTGGATTTGTGAAGGGCTGTAATGATGATGATGATAATTATTTTACTTAGATGGGAATGCTTAAGTTTTTTTTTATTTTTATTTAATTTTATCCTAAAAATATACTCATTAACAAATTTATAAGAACGCAAAAAGAAAGGTTTAATTTCTCCTGTTGTATTGTTGTGTTGTGCTATCGTGTCTCGTAGTATCGTACTGGTCACAGTAATTATGCTATTAAAAAAGAAGAAAGTTTTGGAATGCCATTTTTCGAACTTCGTTTGTTTTTATGTAATTATTGCGTAGAGGAAAGTAACTAAATGTGGACTATTGCTTTAATATGGGCTAGTGAAAATTCTAGAAAACAAATAACTAAAAGGCGCTGCAAACGAATATCTCCTATTGCATTCATTAGCCCCAACACCGCAATCACTCTATCTCGTGAGTTCTGCGAGAGGTGATGATAAGGCAAGACGTTGTTGCTTCACCGCTCTCAAAAAATTAAGTAAGATGAGTAAAAACATGTTATTTAATCAATTATAATTATGACTAAATAGTGTAACTGTATCTTTTATTTGTAGAATATAAGTTTAATTTCATGACAAAACGAGCCCAAACTCGGCCCACCTAATAGTACTCGGCGACCAGTTCCAATACCGATTACCAAAGTACACCTTCAGGTCACTCCATCAAGTCCGAAGGTAAGGACTCATCATACCTAACAAAACGAGCCCAACCTCGGCACACCTAGTAGTACTTAGCGACCTGTTCCAATGCCGATTGCCAAAGTACACCTTCAGGTCACTCCACAAGTCCGGAGGTAAGGGCTCGTCATACCTAACAAAACGAGACCAAACTCGGGACACCTAGTAGTACTTAGCAACCTGTTCCAATGCCGATTACCAAAGTACACCTTCAGGTCACTCCATCAAGTCCGGAGGTAAGGGCTCGTCATACCTAACAAAACGACCCCAAACTCGGCACACCTAGTAGTACTCGGCGACCTGTTCCAATACCGATTACCAAAGTACACCTTCAGGTCACTCCGTCAAGTCCGGAGGTAAGGGCTCGTCATACCTAATAAAACGAGCCCAAACTCGGCACACCTAGTAGTACTCGGCGACCTGTTCCAATACCGATTACCAAAGTACACCTTCAGGTCACTCCATCAAGTCCAGAGGTAAGGGCTCGTCATACCTAATAAAACGAGCCCAAACTCGGCACACCTAGTAGTACTCAGCGACCTGTTCCAATGCCGATTGCCAAAGTACACCTTCAGGTCACTCCACAAGTCCGGAGGTAAGGGCTCGTCATACCTAATAAAACGAGCCCAAACTCGGCACACCTAGTAGTACTTAGCAACCTGTTCCAATGCCGATTACAAAAGTACACCTTCAGGTCACTCCATCAAGTCCGGAGGTAAGGGCTCGTCATACCTAACAAAACGACCCCAAACTCGGCACACCTAGTAGTACTCGGCGACCTGTTCCAATACCGATTACCAAAGTACACCTTCAGGTCACTCCGTCAAGTCCGGAGGTAAGGGCTCGTCATACCTAATAAAACGAGCCCAAACTCGGCACACCTAGTAGTACTTAGCCACCTCTTCCAATCCCGATTACCAAAGTACACCTTCAGGTCACTCCATCAAGTCCGGAGGTAAGGGCTCGTCATACCTAACAAAACGACCCCAAACTCGGCACACCTAGTAGTACTCGGCGACCTGTTCCAATGCCGATTACCAAAGTACACTTTCAGGTCACTCCGTCAAGTCCGGAGGTAAGGGCTCGTCATACCTAATAAAACGAGCCCAAACTCGGCACACCTAGTAGTACTCGGCGACCTGTTCCAATACCGATTGCCAAAGTACACCTTCCCGTCACTCCGTCAAGTCCGGAGGTAAGGGCTCGTCATACCTAACAAAACGAGCCCAAACTCGGCACACCTAGTAGTACTTAGCGACCTGTTCCAATGCCGATTGCCAAAGTACACCTTCAGGTCACTCCACAAGTCCGGAGGTCAGGGCTCGTCATACCTAACAAAACGAGACCAAACTCGGCACACCTAGTAGTACTTAGCAACCTGTTCCAATGCCGATTACCAAAGTACACCTTCAGGTCACTCCATCAAGTCCGGAGGTAAGGGCTCGTCATACCTAACAAAACGACCCCAAACTCGGCACACCTAGTAGTACTCGGCGACCTGTTCCAATACCGATTACCAAAGTACACCTTCAGGTCACTCCGTCAAGTCCGGAGGTAAGGGCTCGTCATACCTAATAAAACGAGCCCAAACTCGGCACACCTAGTAGTACTCGGCGACCTGTTCCAATGCCGATTACCAAAGTACACCTTCAGGTCACTCCGTCAAGTCCGGAGGTAAGGGCTCGTCATACCTAATAAAATGAGCCCAAACTCGGCACACCTAGTAGTACTCGGCGACCTGTTCCAATACCGATTACCAAAGTACACCTTCAGGTCACTCCGTCAAGTCCGGAGGTAAGGGCTCGTCATACCTAATAAAACGAGCCCAAACTCGGCACACCTAGTAGTACTCGGCGACCTGTTCCAATGCCGATTACCAAAGTACACCTTCAGGTCACTCCGTCAAGTCCGGAGGTAAGAGCTCGTCATACTTAACAAAACGAGCCCAAACTCGGCCCACCTAGTAGTACTCGGCGACCTGTTCCAATACCGATTACTAAAGTACACCTTCAGGTCACTCCGTCAAGTCCGAAGGTAAGGGCTCGTCATACCCAATAAAACGAGCCCAAAGTCGGCACACCTAGTTCTACTAGTCCAGGTGTTCCGGTATTAGTTACTGAAGTTCACTTTCAGGTCACTCCATCAAGTCCGGAGGTAAGGTCTTATCATGACTGACAAAATCAGCCCAAAGTCCACAGCTAACTTCTCAGTGCCAGCAGAGGGCTCCCAGTGCAAAGCAGTCTCTAGAGTAGGTATTCGTACCTCGTAACTAAGTCTTATTACTCTATGTATCTAAGTATATTTTTGTGGTGTAAGAAATCAAAAACAAATTCGATCTTTCAAATTATTAAAATAATTTTGTTTGATTACGATTCCCGCAGCCAACCGTGCGTACACTTGTGTGCGTGTCTCATGTCAATGTAATAGTTCGATTCTATACCTATATCAATTTTGTAAACGCGTCCTTAAAAAATCTTAACGTAAATACTGCGGCAAAAAGAGCGACACGTCTCTACAGCACAAGGCCTCGGCCGGCATAATACGATCTTGGCCAGTGACTGCACACCTGCACAGGCGTTTACGCAAACATCCGTACATATTATTTCAGAAATAAGAATATGTGATTTAAAAAAAAAACTATTATTTGAACTAAAAAATTGAAACACTATAACGATAATATGTTGAATGTATAAAAATCTGACAAAAAATCAGAATGATTGAATGTATACTAGTATGGTTTTTACTAGTTAAAAGAAATTTTTGGATGTATGTTTGTGATTTTTTTCTATCGTATTAAATTAGTGGTATCATGTTTTCAACACACTATCTAACTAGGATATATCCTGGACAATATCATACACTTTTCTGGGTTTGTTTACTGCAGTGGATCATTTACTTTGAGGCATTATAAAACTTGCGTTTAGGGTCATGCCTCGTCTTAATAGGGGTAGAAAAACCGCTGTGCTGTGGCTTCTGTTATAAATTCGTCATCCCATAAAAGAGACCTTGTTTTTTAAAAAAAATAGAAGAATATTGAAAAATAAAATAAAAATAAAGATAAGAAAGTTAAAGTAGAGAAAACAAAAACGTAGCAATAAAAAAAAACAAGACAAGAAACTAACTAGTGACGATGAAGTGATTGACAGTGAAGGTGGAGAGGTTTTCCAGTTTTGTTCGGACTCTGAACCAGATATCATAATCGACAAAGAAGCTCCTGATTCTGCAGATGCATAATGTATGTTCTGCCAGCAAATTTTTTCAGAAAATTCAGGAGACTGGTTTAAATTCTTGATGTGTGGGTTCTTGGCACTTAATGGCTGTGCTGGGCCAGAATTTGGTAGTTGATATGGGACATTTGGATTTAAAATAATTCATTTCTTACTCTTACCAAAGTTAATTATTGATCTAGATAAGCATTTATGCTTAAAATTTTCTTAAAAGATAATTAAGTTGCTATAGCCCATATTTGAGTACCTGTTCCATATTTAGTGCCAACTTTGCAATTTTGTTTAATGCTCAATTTTTATAGTATAGTTTAGTAAAAAAACATAAGACTGCTATTTTGCTGTTTAAAAATATATGTTTGAATATTATAACATTAATATAAAGTTGATTTTTAAATGGTTTTTAATTTTTGACCTCAAAACAAAATGGTAGCCCATATTTAGTTACTCTCCTCTAATATTGCCTTGTATAATACGGCGAAAAATTTAGCCAAATTTTGTATTTGAGTTTAAATTTAAGTTTTGTTTAGTTTTTTGCCTTAATGAAGTATGACTTGTACTCTGAAGTACAAATCATACTTCATTATGTATGTCAAATTTAGTTAGTAAATATAAATAATATATATTTAGTAATATAAAAAACAACACAATAGAGAGCTTACGTTTTATCATTGAGTTATACAAAACTGTATAACTCCAAAGTGTGTAATATATAAATCAATGCGTTTTATTATAAAATTAACGTCATTAATGCTATAGAACTTACAAAAAATATGCACTAACTTTACATTAGGAAATAATTGTGCACAAATAAATGTACATACTAAAATAATCAAGTAAGCACAAACACTGTGGGAAAAAAACTGAACACGTGCCTGCCATAGGCCCCATTCTTGTCATATGTCATCGAGTACCTCAAGATACGAATATTATAATTTGGTTCAATTTGGTATCAATTTCTATTCACAGAGATGTCCAGATTTTTCTTTAAGCCAGACGATGGAAGGATTAAAGTGTGGAGACGCCCGGTAAAGCGGTAAACAAACTCAGTGCAGCATTATTGTTTAGAAAGAGGCGTACGGTGGAGTCTCAGTTATTTGGAGGTATTTAATATTTATATGGGGGCACGTACGGGACTACGAGTCATTGGAAATGGGTCACTAGCAGTGGCACGATATTTAACTGAAATTTGGAAGAAATTGTACTGCCATTTGCCTCTTTTATAAGAGATAATTTGTTTTTATGGATGATAATTCATGCCACCATACTGCAGCCAAAATTTTTGGAATACCTTCAACACGTTGAAACACGCTATGAGTTTTAAGTCCAGCCAGTACGCTCGTCCCGACTTAAATCCCATAGAGCATGTATGGGATAAGCTTGGAAGACAAATTAAGAAAAGAAATTCAGTCCTCGCTAATTTGAGAGACCTTAAAAACGCATTACGGAAAGAATGGATCTCTCAAGATTTTATGGATAACTTGATTAGGAGTATGCTAAAGAGACTGGAAACAGTTTAAAGAGAGGGGGCAACACTAAGTACTGATTTTAACCCACGTTATAGCCTTTCCTAAGTATTTATGAAAATCTTTTTCTTAATTTGGTTAATTTTCTCATTTTATTCATTCAAAAATCCGTGATATTTTGTTTATACAATTTTTTTTGCGTTTCTCTAAATTTGTCCATGAGTATATAATGTATTATCATTTATCCATTAACTAATTCCTACAACAGTTACTGTGAATTGTTTTAGTTTAGTGCACCTACTTGCGCAAGCTCACACAGCTAACTTCTCTTGAGGCGCATATAAGTTCACTATTATTTATTCTGTCGTTCTGATTACAAATTCCATTTTTATGCAGTACTTTGTTGAGGCGCTAGCTTTCGAATTAAAAAGAAAACAGTTCTACAAAGTACATAAAATGAGATTGGACGTACACACGCTCAGCGAACTACATTCGGAATAATAAATCTACAATTGAGTTTGATGTTTTTGACTATGAACTGCGTTATGTTGAAAACAGTCTGTGACTGTTGTCAGGTGTATAATTAAAATACAAAGTAGCTAATAAGCAAGAGCAAATATCCAACCTGAACTCCGTTTCTTCACAATTTTTAGGTTTTATTGTCTCGTGTCCCCAGGCCTTCGGAACGGGCGCAGCACGGCCTACTGCAGAAAAAACCTTGCTTTTTTTTGGCTTGTGTCCCCAGGCCTCCGGAACGGGCGCCGCATAATTCACTGCAGAAAAAACCAACAATTTTACTATAATGGCAACGCTCAGCTGATATTATATAATTTCTTTTATTGGAGCGGAGCTCCCATGGCGCAAGAAAACGGTTCTTCGAAATCTATCTCCTCCGTAACTCGTAGGCCAATGTACATAATTTTTTCGGCCTTATTTGTAGCTCAACGCAGACAAGGTTTGTAAACAATAAAAATCTGTATTTGAATTTTTTTTACTATCTAATCAATTCGCTAATTTACATCTGCGCAATGTCACACACTTTGATTGAATCTTATGTTGAAATAAAGATAGTTATGACTTTAGACTTTTACTGCGCTCCGTTATAAAAAAAGTAAACACACTACACGAAAACTAGGGTCGATGCAGATGCAAAAGGTTTTACCTTTGCATCTGCAGCAACCCTAGTTTAATTTACATCTGCGCAATGTCACACACTTTGATTGAATCTTATGTTGAAATAAAGATAGTTATGACTTTAGACTTTTACTGCGCTCCGTTATAAAAAAAGTAAACACACTACACGAAAACTAGGGTCGATGCAGATGCAAAAGGTTTTACCTTTGCATCTGCAGCAACCCTAGTTTAATTTACATCTGCGCAATGTCACACACTTTGATTGAATCTTATGTTGAAATAAAGATAGTTATGACTTTAGACTTTTACTGCGTTCCGTTATAAAAAAAGTAAACACACTACACGAAAACTAGGGTCGCTGCAGATGCAAAAGGTTTTACCTTTGCATCTGCAGCAACCCTAGTTTAATTTACATCTGCGCAATGTCACACACTTTGATTGAATCTTATGTTGAAATAAAGATAGTTATGACTTTAGACTTTTACTGCGCTCCGTTATAAAAAAAGTAAACACACTACACGAAAACTAGGGTCGATGCAGATGCAAAAGGTTTTACCTTTGCATCTGCAGCAACCCTAGTTTAATTTACATCTGCGCAATGTCACACACTTTGATTGAATCTTATGTTGAAATAAAGATAGTTATGACTTTAGACTTTTACTGCGCTCCGTTATAAAAAAAGTAAACACACTACACGAAAACTAGGGTCGATGCAGATGCAAAAGGTTTTACCTTTGCATCTGCAGCAACCCTAGTTTAATTTACATCTGCGCAATGTCACACACTTTGATTGAATCTTATGTTGAAATAAAGATAGTTATGACTTTAGACTTTTACTCCGCTCCGTTATAAAAAAAAAGTAAACACACTACACGAAAACTAGGGTCGATGCAGATGCAAAAGGTTTTACCTTTGCATCTGCAGCAACCCTAGTTTAATTTACATCTGCGCAATGTCACACACTTTGATTGAATCTTATGTTGAAATAAAGATAGTTATGACTTTAGACTTTTACTGCGCTCCGTTATAAAAAAAGTAAACACACTACACGAAAACTAGGGTCGATGCAGATGCAAAAGGTTTTACCTTTGCATCTGCAGCAACCCTAGTTTAATTTACATCTGCGCAATGTCACACACTTTGATTGAATCTTATGTTGAAATAAAGATAGTTATGACTTTAGACTTTTACTGCGCTCCGTTATAAAAAAAGTAAACACACTACACGAAAACTAGGGTCGATGCAGATGCAAAAGGTTTTACCTTTGCATCTGCAGCAACCCTAGTTTAATTTACATCTGCGCAATGTCACACACTTTGATTGAATCTTATGTTGAAATAAAGATAGTTATGACTTTAGACTTTTACTGCGCTCCGTTATAAAAAAAGTAAACACACTACACGAAAACTAGGGTCGATGCAGATGCAAAAGGTTTTACCTTTGCATCTGCAGCAACCCTAGTTTAATTTACATCTGCGCAATGTCACACACTTTGATTGAATCTTATGTTGAAATAAAGATAGTTATGACTTTAGACTTTTACTGCGCTCCGTTATAAAAAAAGTAAACACACTACACGAAAACTAGGGTCGATGCAGATGCAAAAGGTTTTACCTTTGCATCTGCAGCAACCCTAGTTTAATTTACATCTGCGCAATGTCACACACTTTGATTGAATCTTATGTTGAAATAAAGATAGTTATGACTTTAGACTTTTACTGCGCTCCGTTATAAAAAAAGTAAACACACTACACGAAAACTAGGGTCGATGCAGATGCAAAAGGTTTTACCTTTGCATTTGCAGCAACCCTAGTTTACGTGTTTTTGGTGACTTTCATCTATCACTGTCAGAAATATTTTTTTTTTTGCATTTTTTGCAACCACATTAGATACAACACAAAGTACAAGAAATTTCACAAAATTTGCTACATAAATACACAAATAATGAAAATTATACAGGAAATGTAATAAATATAAGTATAAAATAACACATACTCTGCGTCCAATCACGCTTTAAGGGTGATGATCTGTCAATGCACGACCTCTCTGTACCTGCAACGCCTATAACCGACGATGGCAATACGACACTGAAAAATAATTTTAACGTTATTATAATGTAATAAAGAAGGTATTGTGGTAACATTTTTTTTATCGTCAATACATGCCTTGCATTCGGTGGCGGCACAGGCGGTGGTGGATAATGAAAAGTTAGCGGAACCTCTGAAAACAAATACCAAACATTTTTAAATTATCAAACAAAGCAGACTGGGTCAAATAAGGATAGAGTGCCTTACATTGTTAACTTAGGACAGGAACCTTGTTAAAATTAACATATTATATGTGGGGTCGTGAAAGCATACAAAAATTAAATGATGATGTAGTCCAGGGAGTTTGCACTCGACAACTTTATAAAATAAAAAAAGGTTTAGCGGCTAGTCGCAGTAAACATTTATAGATTGTTACAGCTACCAGCACATTAACTACTAATAATGAATGTTCAGTTGTACCTATTAGTATTTAACATCATCACCTTCTAAGCATTTTCATAGATCATTTTATACATATCAAACTGATTCTTTTACTGAAATAACACAATAGCAGTTAAAACTTTATTGTAAATGGAACCCTAAATAGAAATAATAGACGTAAAATATAAATAAATCAATTTAGTATAAGCCATAAAATTACAGTTGACTCGCGTTTACCCGACAAACGTTTTGCAAGCCTTTGCAAGTACTGCCAGTAGTTTTTGAAAAGAAGTATCTTGTAATCCGACAAATTATAATAATGTCTTTCAGACCGAATTTCGGTCACGGTGGTCTGCCGCAACCGAGACTAGCCATCGGCGCAAGGCAGGAATATAGCACAGTCTATAAAATTATACTGTGATTATAGTGCCCAAGTGTATGCGTAAGTACAGGTGCACTCTCTATTCCTTCACTCTCATAATCCGATGGGACGGTAAACCGACACGAACGGAGAGGGGTCAAGCGCGACACCGCCAACTTCATGACTCAGGGCAGCTACTGAGAATTTCTTGATGGAAAAACTCAATAATTAATTTTTTTTTGCCCGACCTGGGATTCAAACCCAGGACCTCATGATCAGCAGTACCACTACTACAACCACTACACCAACGAGGCAGTCAAATTATAGCAAATATAAGATAGTAAAAAATCTTGTAATGCACAATGAATACCTAAACTGTAAATAATGAGCGCCCGCTAGGCCGCTACCATAAGAACTAACACAATACGCGACAAGCAAAATTCGTAGTGGCGCAAACTATTTACAACCTGTTCGTCCACATATTCGGGAAGAACACTTCCCCCCGTGGCGGATTCATAACGCGACCCGACAGTATCTACATGTTATAGGCATGTCGGATTACAGGGGTACCGGATTAGACAGGGGTCGGATTACCAACTGGATTGCTGGGTCCACTGTTTAATGCTGTTCGCTAAAATTAGAATGTAATTGATTGTGTTTTGAATGAATGGTTATTTTATATACACAGTAGACCCCCGGTAATCCGACATATCTTGAAATTGTAGGTAGGTTCGAGTCGCGCTGTGAATCTGCCACGGGGTAGGTGTACTACGCGAATACGTGGACAAACAGGTTGCAATTACACAGTTCGTGTCACCACGAATCTAGCTTATAGCTATTTAGTTATTCATTGCGCATCACATGACATTTTTATTATTTTATATTTGATATATAATATGTCGAATTACAAGGAATTCTTTTTCAAAAAAAAAATCGGAGTACCAGGGGCGTGTGGCAGTACTCTATAGTCCGACAAAAACGTTTGTCGGATTACCGCGGGTCAACTGTAATCTGATAACTAACGTCACCAATAACGACATAAATAATTGAAATAGATATTATAGAATCTTTGTACATATTACGATAGTCCTATTGTAAGTAAGTAACACGTTTGGTAGCTATTTTTATTGATTTAAAGAAAATTTATGCATACGTCTTAAAAATGGTATCAAGAGCAAATAAAATAAATAATTTAAAAAATCAAAAACTCGACTGCAAAAAAGACAATTTAAAATGAATGAAATAAGAATATCGAAACAAGATAGAGATTAGAAATCAAAATTAAAACAAACTATAAACAAAGTAAACTCTACTTCGGTTTAACATACTAAGTATATTATGAGCTGAAAGCCTAAGTTGAATAGCCTAAGCACATTAAGTTTAGTAGCAATCGGAACCCATAAATTTTTTTTCGGTTAATAATTTGCAGTTTGGTTCCGCTTTTAGATTTTTCTAATTATTTATATTTTATTCAAGACTTTTTAGTGTCCCACTCTATTGTGTAAAGGTTTTTGACGATTCCTGAAATAAGCGGTTTATTTATTACATTTTTCTTCAAAATTTCAAAGTATGTGCTTCAAAATTTATTGGAATCAATTTATTTGTTACGTTGTAAATATGATCGGGCGACGGATATTTATAACTATTTTTTTCATATAATAGCCCGAGGTACGACACAAACAATGCCCATTGTATAAACCAGTTATCAAAATCTTTATAAACCAATTTATTATACCTAATTAAATTTAAACATAATACAACTTATATTCGATGGGTTTGGTTAATTGTTTTTAATAACGTACATGACAATCCGCCATTTTGTTTATAAAACTAAGAATACTTGGGTTTTTAAGACGAATAAAACAATGTGTCATCCCCTTTTAATTTCCTTTATAATGATATCGTATTCGATAGGTTTAGTTATTTTTTTTATTAACTCATTATTATTTTGTGCCAAAAACCGCCATTTTGTTTATTTTTTAAGAAAGCTATCTAACAAATAAAACGATACCTTATAACCCTTCCTTGACAGTCGGGTAAAAAACAAAGGGTGTCTTAATTCAAATCTTATAGCTGTCTTACCTTGTGTAGGCGGCGGCGGCGGCGGCGGTGGTAAAATATTCACCATTTTGTGTTTGCCTAGAACATGAGGCGGCAGTTCTCCTGTTCTATACCAATGTTGTTCCTCAAAAACTGTAGCATGCACAAATTTACAATTTGGGCGAATGCATACACGATTTTGGAAGTTTCTGCAGAATGTATAGACACCAGCCAGCTGTAGTACATCACACTTGTGACTGAATTTGCAGGTTCCTGGTCTTGTACACCTTCCTCTAACAAAATCTCTGCACATTGGTTTGAGTTTGTTACCGTCATTTTCTTCATAACCATTTAATCCAGCACTTACTCCCTCATGGTTTAAACTTTCAGAAGATTCCTTACCAGGGATTGGGTATTCAATATCCTCAATTTCCTGTTTAGGTTCTAAAGTTAAACTTGGAATCTCGTTAGGTGGTGGCGGGTCTAAAGGCAAAGGCGGTTGCATATCTGGCATTGCTTTTTCTTTACCAACGTTTGGAGGTGACTCTGCTAAAATAGTTGGTGAACCTCGGCTAGTTCTTGCATTATAATCTATTTTAGACTTTATAAACTTTTTCATGATTTCAGGCTTTGATGCTGATTGGGTTTTTATAATATAGAACTTATAATAATATATATATAAAGAATTTATAATATGTAATTAAGATATAAATCTTACACACCGGCTCGCGTAAAAATAGTTTACTCTTTGAACTTTAGAAAAGGTAAATGACAAAAAAATGTAATATTACCCGCAAATATCCTCATTTATTTCTAACGATACAGATAAACACAGATATTTGTTTGTGTAAAAAAATTGAAAGTACCTACGATCTTCCATAATATTAAACGCGAAACAGTGTATTACGTAAGTACTAAACATAGATTTGAAACAATGAAATGAACTTATAATCACAAATTGTTACCTATAACTAGCTATCGATATGTAATAAAATCATACAGTCCACTTAGAAATGTAAAGGTTCGAAACAATGAAATGAATTTATGGTTTAAGAACTTTATACTCATTTTAAGAATACAAAAATTCACTTATCATGAGGACATAATAATTTATAAGTTATAACAATATCTGGAGAAACACAGAAGTTTACATTACGAATACCTATAGTTAAAAAACAGTCACGGCGTCAGAGAGAGATACAATCACAGATATATAGTTGAACTACGCTCAACAATTTGCAAGAAGCGGCTTGAGAGATATTTAGTAATATTTTATTCTAATTCGAATTAATAATGAACAATAAAAAAAAACTTTATACCTTATTTGCACCTTTTTAAATATATTTAAAATACTTATTGATTATTATTAATATTTTCAACTTAATAGTAAGACCGTCATTTTATAGATTTTATAATATGATATTTTAGTAATTTTTTGAAGCTTACATTTGACTGCGATTCCTTAATGTTTTTAGACAGTTTATTTTATATTTGTGCTCCTTCAAACAATAGGTTTCTTTTACCATAACTAGTTCTTGGTGCATGTAAAATGAGATCATTTGCATTTCTTAACTGAATTTTTTGAATTTGCCTGTTTTTATTGAAACTTAAATAAGTGTGGATATCTTTATTTATTATTTTACGAATTGAATTGTTAAAGCGAACGAGTATTTCCCTAATTAATTGTATTTAATGTTACCTATAACTAGCTATCGATATGTAATAAAATCATACAGTCTAGTACAAGTTGGTCGAGCGCGCTCCTCAGAGTGCGCTTGCTCGGCAGATTTTCGCGGTGCCGTTCACACTTCACACGTTGCGTTGTCGTTAAGGCAATCGAAAAAAAACATATACAACAATAATGAGAGTTTGTGCTTTTTAGGGTTCCAACCTCAAAGGAAAAAAGAAACCCTTATAGGATCTACTAGGTGACCCATGCCCACTTCGCTGGGCGTTTTTTCAGAATAAAAAATAGCCCAAAAGAAGTCCCTAAGCTACATTATCCCTGTACATCATAAACTCAGAAATAACTTATAATAATAATTATCATTAGTTAGGTACTCTGAAATCGCAACTAAACATGTATTATTTGTGTATTAAATAAGGCAAGTGCACTCTGGTCTTATTATGTTGCTCATGTTTTACAGTTCCATATAACTGATTCATTGTGATAATAATCAATGAATCTAAATATTTCCTCATTAGTCCATGTCGCCATGTTCGTGTAACAGTTTTGTTAAGTCAACACTAGTCAACTTCAACGCGTAACTATGAACAGAACACTCAGCCAACGATAAAGGGGCCCCGAGACGGTCGAACGGTTTGATTCAAACACGTAGATTTTGGTTTGAGTCAAACCAATTTGATCGTTTACGCCGTTGATATGACAGGTTTGATCAAACGTTACGTGATGACGCTCGTTTGATGGAAATTTATATTTTGGTTTTGTTTGAAGAATCGTGTTCGCGACGTGTTTGATCAAACCTCATCAGTCATTTGCAGAATTTCGAAGCGAGACGTTCTGTGTGGTTTCCAAAATGATGATATATTATGATGAATGATAGACGATGATGAAGTAGACACTGAAAACTCCTCAACGTCGTCATGACACGATTTGTCGTCGGAAGTGACTATATTCAACGACTGTATCAAACGATATCTAAACTTGTACCATTCTTTGTATCCAAATGTTTTTCTTATTTTATTATTAATTAAGCAAGACATTAATACAATATACGCAAGAAAATCTTTATCCATAGTCGACGGCATTTTTTGAAATCACAATAGGACTTTCTTGTTTGAACTTTGAAGTCACACTGCGCGCTTCACAACCAGTCAAACACTAAGTAAATTTTAACATTACAATAGCAGAATGGTAGATGGTAGGTAATTAAAGATCAGCGAACAATGCAATGAGGCACAAAAAAAAACCGAATGGCTTTATTTAAAAATTTTTGTTAAAGGGAGATGCACAATTGTTGCGGGGACGAGAGGGAAAACAAAAAAAACCCCCCGCGCCCACTAAACGTAATGTCAGTTCCAGATTCCGGTAATCTATGGTCACTTCAATATAAAATCACGTATCGTCCTTATGTCTATTTATTACAAAATCCTGCTTAATCAAACTCAACCTTAGCACTCCCAGACATTTGGTCCTAAATCGTACCGTATTCGGTCCAGTGGAGCGGCCCAGTGCGAGCGCCGATACTGATGCCACTTTAGCAACTTTGTTGCTAAATCTAATGAGTTTTTTTTTTTTAATTTAGGGAGTTTCATTCAATATTTAGCGGCAAAAAATATTCGGGTGACTTATGGCGACATTTGAACAATCTTTGTTACTTCAATTTTTGTTACCATCTGACAACTTTAGACGTACCTAAGGAATACCGTGAAACATGCCAACTTTGCTCGTTTTTTCCATAAATTTTAATTGTTCTTATTTACGGACGTCAGTATATTTCAATATTTGCTATAACTTTCTGATCGTGTGCACGTATTGGCTTTGTTAAATTTATTTGTAAATTGAAATTTAAACTAACATTTGATTGTTTTTGAAGACGGGCAAAATTATCTGAAATTTTTTGCCAACATTGCCCACGTTGATTTTTTATGCAAATAGTTTCTAATAGAGTTGCAATAAGCATCACCACCTAGATGTAAAATATCTTGGCGTTAGTTTCAAACCTTTATTAGGGGTAGTGTTAAAAATTTTACAGAAAAATGACAGGGCAATGTTAACTAGCTATTTTCACTCTTTTCCATACAACCGCATCGAGCGACTTAAAATTGCTAGGGTTGTCACATTCGAGTAAATGTCAATCATATTATTTTTCTACGGAGAGTGTTGGATATTCAAAAATCGTGCTCTTTAAATGTTTATTTGAGTTTTGTTTTCTTTTATTTCTAAATTTTATAAAAAATAGAGATCAATAAAGGTTCATTTAGTTAATAAAATCAAGAGTCAAATGAATGAAAAAGTCAATGAGGCAACGGTGCCTCTTAGATGGCTGTGCTGCGACTGAGCTTGAGCCGAGTCGAGTTGTTGTCTTCTACAAGGCATAAGGCCATGCAGGTCTCGGGCCTCGGGGTATACTCCTTTACCCGAACGTTCCTCACGGCACACTGCAATGTGCCGGTCCTGGGCGCCTTGGTGGTAAAGGCGTGATGTATTTAGCGACTTTAGTCGCAGTCGGGTAAAATTTTTCATTAAAAGAGGTTATCTATATAATTGTGTTTAAACACAATTATTTGGTCGGAGTTGGCCTTTCTGCGACATTGTGGGGTTTACTCGACTCCCTAATCTATATAGGGAGGAGTTCTCTTGGATAGGGTCGCCCGTCCGGCGGCCGTGAGTGCAACGGCGCGAAGCCGTTGAGATGTTCATGTGGCCCGTTGTCGGCGCGTTCGAACATACCGCGCGCCAGCCGGACCACGAATTCCTGTAGGCTCTCTATCTTCAGGTTGGCCGCTATGACGTCGTTCCGGACGTAGCAACCCGCACCGACTATGGTTCCTAATGACAAACTCTGCTGGGCCTGAAGTCGCCGCTTCTGATGATCGCTCAGGAGTGCATACCAGGCCGGAGCAGCGTATGTTAGCAGGGGTCTTATGTACGTTTTGTAGATGGTCAACTTCGACTTTGTCGGTAACTTGGATGTCAGGACAGAGCGGAGCATCGCCCGCGCACATCGAGTTTTGCGTATAGCAAAGTCGACGTGTGCAGTCATGGCAAAACTTCGAACCTACTATAATTGTTGCGTGGATGGATGCTTAATGAGCAAACAAAAGGATTCAGATAATATAATTTTTTATGAATCGCGATTCGCGACGAGTGACCTTGCAAGTTGCATGCGTTAGGCACAGAATTCGCATAGTAGCAAAAATATGTTCTTTCGATCAATCAGAATAGGTACCTTACGTATTTTACATACCATTTCGCAACGTATTAATTAATTAATTTATACTCTTTATTGCACACAACATATTAAAATAACACACCAACCATAATTTATAAATTTAAGTACAATTAGGTGGCCTCATCGCTAAACAGTAATCTCTTCCAGGCAAACCTTGGTAACGTAGTACTACATATTATTTATTCTATGCCTTGATTCAGGAGATCCGTAAATAGAAGTGTGCATAAATAGTAGATCAACGAGCATATATTAATACATATTATAAGCTAAATAAGTACCTACTTACATGTGTTTTTAATATGGTGCAATATCGCTATATTATTTTACTGTGCGGATATTATTGCCTGTTCCTCATATTCCACTTAATTAAATGTGGAATCTAATCACCATTGAAGATTAGCATGAAATTGGAGAGGTTAGTGATTCTTATTCATACCTATATTGTAATACAAATTGTTCTTGAATATTGAGTTGTTCTTGAAATTTATGGTATTCACTGCGATTGCGCCTGGCGAATGTTGATGAAGCAGTCATAGATGAAAGCGGGATAACATTGCAGTTTTTATTAATAAATAAACACAAATAATTTTAAAGAAATAAACTTCCAAATTGTCGCTGTCAGAAATCGAACCCGGGAGCTCCCTGATTCCACCAGAGCACTTCAATGCGCCAAATCCTATTCAATTTGACGATAGAATTTAAC